GTAGAAGTAGGAATCTTCTACAGTCGAGACCTTAATGTTATAATTTTGCGACTATTGTCCGCAACATGTCTGATACATTTCTCTAGTCTTTAAATCAAAATTGCTTGTTAGTAAAGAATTTCTTTTCAAGGCGCTATTTAGATCTGTTTCCCCAGGGATCTTTACCGATCTTTAGGAACGTTCTCAGAGACCAATGAACGTTCTCTGAGACCAAAAAACGTTCTCTGAGTCCAAAGAACATTCTCTGAGACCATAGAACGTTCTCAGAGTCCAAGGAACGTTCTCTGAGACCAAGGAACGTTCTCTGAGACCAAGGAACGTTCTCTGAGACCAAGGAACGTTCTCTGAGACCAAGGAACGTTCTCTGAGATTTAGGAACAGTGTGGGAGATGTGAATTTAAGTTTGTTTACATGTCTATTAATCTCACAATCATTTTAGCAACAACACTATCGTCAACTATCTATTAATTATAATTACAGAGTAAAATAATATTAATAATATTGCTACTAATAATAAAAATCTCTGAAAACATATCTTTATTAACTCAAATTAAAATTCTTAATTCGAGTGAGAAATATCTTTTCAATCTCCGTCGCCGAATTGGATCAGAAATTAGAAAGTCGTTTCATCAGCGTTTGTGGTTCTGCGGGTGAAAGAGTTAATTACCGGAGTTTAATTACGTAGTCCTACTTTTGGATGGGGTAATTACCGGAATTTAATTGTCCGGCCGGATACTGCGGTCTTCGAACTATCCTCGTGATTCGAGGTGACGGTATTATGCACCTCTGCTTCGCATAAGTGGATTGGAAACTGTCAGTCGATATATCTGGTATACTTTAATGTCTTCCTTATTAAGTATGCCAGATATATCTCGGTGGGTATAGCGCGGGACTCGAGACGTAAGTAGATTTGTAAGATGGAATCCTGATTACACAGTGAATTTGGTTGGATATAATTATTGGTTGCTCCGTGTGGCTCAATATTACTGCCTCGTATTGGTCAATATTAGGTGCCTCCTATGGGCCAATATTACCTGCCTCATATGAGCCAATAGGAGCATATGATGCAGCTAATATTGGCCCATATGAGGCAGCTAATACTGGCCCATACGAGGCAGTAACATTAGCCCATATTATCCTAGCAACCAGATCTCTCTTCTCGGAGGAGTAGAGGCAGCACGCGAGCATCTAAGGTTCCTTTGATACTAGATCAGCCAAGGTCGAAGACACCCTCCTTGCTCCACTCCTAATATAAGCTAAACATGACCTGGATATTGGGTTAGACGGGTCATCAGCGCGCTTTCTCGACTCAAACTGAACGATGTCATGTAGAGCGGCTGGAATATGATGGACAGATTTATCTTAGTGGTAGCGTTTATATTTTA